ACAAAGAAGTGAAACTCTCTCTGTTTGCAGATGACATGATCTTATATATAAAAAACCCTAAAGAATCCATTGGAAAGCTATTAGAAACAATCAATAACTACAGAAAAGTTGAAGGGTGCAAAATCAACTTACAGAAATCAGTTGCATTTCTATATGCCAATAACAAACTAACGCAAAGAGAACTCAAGAAGACAATCCCATTTACAATTGCAACAAAAAGAATAAAATATCTAGGAATAAATTTAACAAAGGAGGTGAAAGACCTATACAATGAAAACGATAACACATTATTGACTGAAATGAAGGATGACATAAAGAAATGGAAAAATATTCCATGCACATAGATTGGAAGAATAAAAATAGTTAAAATGTCTATACTACCTAAAGCAATCTATAGAGTCAATGCAATCCCAATCAGAATCCCAATGACATTCTTCACGGAAATAGAACAAAGAATACTAAAATTCGTATGGGGCAACAAAAGACCTCGAATAGCTAAAGCAATCCTGCAAAAAAAGAACAAAGCTGGAGGCATCACAATCCCTGACTTTGAAATATACTACAAATTGATACTAATCAAAATAATATGGTGCTGGTACAAAAAGAGACACACAGATCAATGGAACAGAATTGAAAGCCCAGAAATAAAACTTCACATCTATGGGAAGCTAATCTTCGATAAAGGACCCAAGAACATACAATGGAGAAAAGAAATTCTCTTCAATGATGGCACTGGAAAAACTGGACAGCCACTTCCAAAACAATGATAATAGACCATCCTCTTTCACCATACACAAAAATTAACTCAAAATGGATCAAAGACCTGAAAGTGAGACCTGAAACTATAAAACTCCTGGAAGAAAATATAGGCAGTACACTATTCATCATCGGTCATAAAGGGATCTTTTCAAATTCCATGTCTACTCTGACAAAGGAAAAAAAAAAAATAAACAAGTGGGACTTCATCAGATGAAAGAGTTTCTACAAGGCAAATGAAACCAGGAACAAAATGAAAAGGGAACCCACCAGCTGGGAAAACATATTTGCAAACCATATATCCGACAAGGGATTAATCTTCATAATGTATAAGCACTCACACAACTGAACAACAAAAAAACAAACAACCTGATCAAACAATGGGCAGAGGAAAGGAACAGACAATTCTCCAAAGAAGATATACAGATGGCCAATAGGCACATGAAAAGATGCTCAATATCACTAATCATCAGGGAAATGCAAATCAAAACAACACTAAGATATCATCTTACACCTGTTAGAATGGCTATAATCACCAAGACAAAAAACAGCAAACGCTGGATAGGCTTTGGAGAAACAGGAACCCTAATTCACTGCTGGTGGGAATGCAAACTGGCACAGCCTCTATGGAAAACAGTATGGAGATTCCTCAAAAGATGAAGATTAGAAATACATTACAATCCAGCCATCCCACTAATGGGTAGCTACACAATGAACATGAAATCAACAATCCAAAGAGGATGATGCACCCCTATGTTCATTGCAGCGTTATTCACTACAGCCAAGACGTGGAAGCAACCTAAGCATCCCTCGACTGATGAGTGGATAAAGAAGATGTGGTATATACATACCACGGAATACTACTCAGCGACAAAAAAAAGACAAAATCATCCCATTTGCAACAACATGGATGGACCTGAAGGGTATTATGTTAAGCAAAATAAGCCAGAAAGAGAAAGACAAAGACCACATGATCTCACTCATAAGTGGAAGATAAACTAACACACGGACAGATAAACTAACCCCTGCTCGGTGGTTACCAGGGGCAAGGAAGGTGGGGGTTGGCCACAAGGGGTGAAGGGACGCATTTATATGGTGACTGAAAAACAATAACGTACAACAAAAATTTCACAATAAAGAAAAAAATTCTGAGACTAGGGATATATATAAGAAATAAAAATATAAAAATACTAGAAGAAAATATGGATGAATTTTTTGGGAACTGATATGAAGTGATTTCCAGAACATACTGTTAAATGAAAAAAAGCAAAGCCCAACAGAGTAGCTACAGTATGCTACCTTTATGTACAAAAAGGGGGATAAACATATATCTGCTTGTTTGTGCAAAAGAAATACAGGAAGGATAAACCAGAAACTAAAGAAATTGGTTATCTAGGAGATGGGTGAAAACAGGATCAGAGGTGATGGGAACAGGGTAGCAGGATGAAAGTAGTTGACATTTCTCTGCATATACCATTTTGTATAGCTCTGACTTGTTTACAAGAAAAATGTTTCACATACCCCTAAAGTAAACAACAAAACCCACCAAGTGGGGGAGGAGAAAATGGAAGACAACAATAACAAATGTACCTAACTGAATTACAAATGAATAACATAACTATGTTGAAGGGGTTGGTAAGAAAACTAACCTACGACAAAAAGAACTGTATCTAAATGCTATACAACCTAGTTAGTAAATATGAAGAACTGTCACAGGCTGGAGGAGACTAAGGAGAAACAAGAACTCAATGCCAAGTGGGATCCTGGATAGGATTCTAAAACAGCAAGGGATGTTAGTGTAAGCCTATAGTTTAGTTAACAGTAATGCACCAATGCTAACTTTCCAGTTTTCATCATTGTACTGCGGGTATGTAAGATGTTAAAATTAGGGAAAGCTGGGTGACAAGCATATGAGAAACCTCTGTACTATTTTTACAACTTTTTGGTAAGTTTCAAATTAGTCTAACATAAAAAGTTTAACTTACAACACAACGATAAAAAGATAACCCTACTGAAAAAAGGGTAAAGAATCTGAATGGATATTTCTTCAAAGAAGCTACACAAACAGCCAATGAACACATGAAAAGATGCTCAACATCATTAGTCATCAGGGAAATGCAAATCAAAACCACTTCACACCCACTAGTATGGCTAGAATCATCAAAAAGTCAAATAATAAGAAGTGTGTTGTGGAGGATATGGAAAAATCAGAACTCTGACACCCTATTGGTAGGGACGTAAGATGCTGTAGCAGCTTTGGAAAACAGTCTAACAGTTTACACAATGATGAAATGTTGAGTTACCACCGGACCCAGTAATTTCACAACAAGCAATATATGCAAGAGAAAAGAAACAAATGTACAAAGAAATACTTGCAAACGAATGCTTATAGCAGCATTACTCATAATAGCCAAAAGGTGGAAACAACCACACATCCACCAACTCACAGATAATCAAAATGTGTACATCTATTCAATAGAAGACTACACATTCATAAAAAGGAAAGAAATACTGATAGATGTTACAGTATGAATGAACCTTGAAAACAATATGCAAAGTAAAAGAAGCCAGTTGCAAAGACCACATATTATATGATTCCATTCATATAAAATTTCCAGAATAGGGAAATCTATAGAGAGAAAGTACGTGAATGGTTGCCTAGGACTGGGAGTAGGGGAATGATAGCCAAAGGGCATGGGGTTTCTTTTTGAGGTGAAGAAATGTTCTAAAATTGACTGTGCGGATGGTGCCCATGTCCGTGAATATACTAAAAACCACTGAATTGCACACTTTAACTGGATGAAATGTATGGTATGTGAACTACAGCTCAATAAAGCTGTTTTTGAAAAAAGCCCTTGGGTCCTTTATTTCACTTTTAATTTGCTTCTCTTTCACCCTCTCCTGTATTGCTGCCATCTGCTGGTTATTGTTTTAAAATACCTGCCAGAACCACCACCGTCTTTAATTTCACAAAAGAAGCAAACACTGCCACAATGCAAGGAAGCAAAAAGTTAAGGATATTTTTCCCTATCCTTTTGAAAATACTGTCCCAAATATGATCAGGTTCCCCAAAATAGGCTACTTCATTTATCCTTTAAAAAAATGAGATTTCAGGGCTGGCCTGGTGGGATAGTGGTTAAATTCGTGCTGAAGCAATTCTGCTTCAGCAGCCTCAAGTCTGTGAGTTTCGATCCCGAGCACAGACCTACACACTGCTCATCAAGACATACTGTGGTAGCGGCCCACATACACAATAGAGGAAGAGTGGGAATAGATGTTAGCTCAGGGCCAATCTTCCTCACCAAAAACAACAAAAAGGAAAAAATGAGATTTTGAATAAAACACATGTAAAAGGCATTTGGCCACTTTTGGGATAATGAAGGAAATTTGAATGGGAATTAGGCATTAGATGATAATAACATTGATAATTTTGTTAGATGTGATCATTGCTGTTTAGTTTTGTTAAGAAGTTCTTACTTTTTGGAGATATATACAGAAGTGCTTTAGGAATTAAATGACCCAATATTAGGGATTTGCTTTAAAAAATACCACAACAAAAAAGGACAGATGAAGTAAATACGGCAAAATATTGATAAAAGATGGATAAACGCGGTGGCAGGTACTATTTTCTCTTTGTTGAGGTATATTTGAAGTTGAAAAGAAGAAGGAAAAAGGACTGTTACTCTTTGAGGCCAAAGGACATATAAAGCACTTTGAATTTTTCTAAGGACAAAGTAGAAAATAAATAAATTGAGGTAACAGATATTGAAATCGTGGTCTGCAAATCATAGGTAACATAACTTTTATAAAAGTCTGTTCAGAGCCAGCCCTGGTGGACTAGCAGTTAAAGTTCAGCACACTCTGCTTCGACGGCACAGGTTCCGTTCCCAGGCGCGGACCCACACCACTCGTCTGTCAGCAGCCATGCTGTGGCAGTGGCTCACATAGAACTTACAACTACACACAACTATGTACTGGGGATTGGGGTGGGGGGAGAAGAAAAAAGGAGGAAGCAGATGTTAGCTTAGGGCCAATCTTCCCGTGCAAAAAAAAAAAGTCTGTTCAAAGAACAAAAGACCTTTCTTCAAATCTTACCCAGATCAGAGTGTGGTTGTTACATGTCAACAGTATATGATTTACTGATATTCAGAAGTGTTCAAATACTGATTCAGGCAGGAATTTTTTCAAAGCATATATTTTATAATATCACACTGAAATCACTCTACTATCATTGAAATACCTACCTTTTGAGACTTGGCTCTTTTAAATAGAGAGGAGTACACCTTCTTCTTCGGCTTGGTGGCTCTGAAGATAGATCTTCTGACTTATTTTCGGATTTACCAGCGTTATTTGAAAGAAAATTGGTATTTGTCAAGTCCTGTAGTATTCTATCACCTGAAAAAAAAAATATTATTTTCAAAAATATTTGTAAAAATATGGAGAGATATGGAAATAGATATGGGATATTTAATGGTTTGCAAATTATTGGTAGCAAATTTTTAAACTTAACAATAACCAAGTTATAATTTTAAATATACAATAGTAGCACTGAAATTCTTTGTAAACAACTTTAATTTCTTTCCAGCAATGATGAGAGGAAAAGAGACTTAAAATTTGAAAACACTATCCAAGCAGCCCGCAACATTTCTATTCTGAAATCACACACAGGCTGATAACAATTCTTCACGTTTCAACTCTCTTCAGAGACTCACACGAATTAATACACACTCACTGAACATCTGTCATCGATGGCTCACCCTGTGAAAGGCACCCTGAGGAGCAGAGATGACAGATGGCTCCCCGTCCTCTAACACGTCCTGTAGCTCTAGACCCTTCTACTTCTTTCGCTCCAGTATCTCTTCTCCTGGAATAGCCTGATCCACCAAAATCCTAGTGTTCCACATACGTGTGCTGAAATGCTGGGCTCTCAGTAGAAAATGGTATCTCATACGGGAATGTCCAATATCACAATGTTTCCCACAGCAAAGGAACATCTTAGGATCCAATGTTAAGGGAAAAAAGTGGGATGAGTACTGTTACACATAGTGTGATTTCAAGTATTTATTTAAAAATCCATGGATTCAGGTCTGCACGCATACGCCAAAATGCTGACTGCAGCTTTTCCAGGAGACTTTTTCTTGCTATTTTTTGATTCTCTACATCCAATTTTCTTCAGTGAGTATTATTTGAAGAACCGGGGAAAAAAAAATCACTAAAAGTAAAAAGTCTACCTGTTCTTCAGGACCTAAAATGCTACTTACTTCATGATGCCTTTGCAGGTTCCTCTAGTCAAAATGACTCCCCATTATGTCACCTACTAGGTGCCTTGAGAAACTCAAGGGTGAAGGTGGAACCAATTAACTGCTTTTCCAAGTTGTTTCTTTTCCTTTTGTATGTTCAGGAGATGTGACCACCAGCCATCCCGCAACTGACCAAGCCTCACCACAAGAGCTACGCCCATGACCTTTGCCTTATTTTTAAAGCAAAGATCTCTCCAGGAGGAGCTTAGGCCTCATTATGTGGAAGCCTGTTCTCCAACTGAGCCTGCGAAAGTGAATACCCGCCTCTCCCTGTTGAATATTCATTCCCCAACCGAAATGAAAGTTCCTGCTTCCCTTTGTTCGGGGACGCCATGACTTTGCAAAATGATTCCTCAGGGCCTCCTATTTGCTGCAAATACACTTTACTTTTTGAGACAACTTCCACTGGTGTTGAGTCTTACTTAACTCACCAGGAGGCGAGCCCACTTGGTTGGATAACAATTACATCCCTCACCATAATACGTGTGCTTTTATTAAAGCATTTACCACATTTCAACACTATATACTATATTTGTTACCTTTACATCCAAGTATTCTGAGGAAAGGGAGTTGGTATTGGTTATTTTTAAATCCATTAAACTCACTATAATAATGCTTTGCTCACATTCACTACATGCTGGAGAGAGTCTCACCCTTAAGAAACTTGCGTTGTCTTTGGTAAAATCAAACCAGGGTAATTCACTATTATATACATCTAAAACACTCGATTTCCTTCAAATATGTGAGAAAGAAAATTATCTGCCTAATGTCATTATCAGAGAACTTTTTGGTAAAGGCCAAATCCATGTTTTATGTAATAAATGTCCAAGACACTCTCACAGCTACCTTCCCAAAGTATTACACTTTTTAAAAATTGCTTCTTATTGTTTCTATAGATCAGGCTACACAGTTAAACATGTTTTTAAATTCCATAAAAATATCAGTTATAATAGCAAATATTTTACTGGTTAAGGGAAAAAATATATATACATTTAAAACCTGATCACCTCAGGTATTGACCTACCTATTCCTGATTTTTGTGTTCTCTGGTTGACTTTAAATTTCATCCCTTCCATCTTCTCACGCACATCATCACTTACTTGAAGGATCCGTGAGCTCTCCAGAGCAAAATTCTCTCTAATTACCAGATTTTTACTAGAAGAAACACTCAAAGGTATTGAACTCTCAGGAACACTGTTACAGGAAGACTCTTGGATGTTAGGTGAATATATCTGAGATAAAGATGTAAATACCTTTGGGTAAGAGTCTGGCTTAATTGGGACAATTTTCTCATTTTCCAAATTTGTTTCCTTATCAGCTTGTTCAGATTCAACTGATACTCCCTGAAGGGTGTCCATTACTTTATGGCCGTCTGGAGAAGGCTCTCTGAAGGTCTTCCTTTTGGATCTGGATGTCATTTTACTGACTACTTTGGCCTGGCACCCTCCTTCTGTTATCACTCCCACAGAGGGGATCTCTCTCTTTCTATTCAGAGCTGTAGTTATTTGCTTTGGATTCTCACGTGGTTCCATGTGGTTTTCAGGATCAGAATCGGCTTCATTAGGAACATGTTTTGAACCTGATTCTAAGGACATACATGTTTCTGAAGAATCTGTTAACTTCAAAATAGGTTTGTTTTCACTTTTTGCTAAAATGTTCTTTGCCTTGCCTGATAATTCTTTCCCATGCTTTTGAACAAGTTTGTAAGGATTGGAAATTTGATCACAATTTTCCTTTTCATTACTCTTGATTTCTGTACAGTCTCCACCGATAATACCTTGGCATTCAAGTCTTTGTTTTGATTTACCTATTTTAAGACCAAGATCTTTGGTATAGCTTTCTTGGCCAGACACAACTTTATCATTACCCTCATGTATTTGGAAAGTTTCAGAAATTATTTCTGTCTTCCGATTTACTTTCTGCCTAATTTTCTTATTTGTTTTTGATTCTTTTTGCTGAGCAGATTGCATATCAGTGGCATGCTTTTTCATATCCAACATTTTCTGGGTCTCATACTTGTATAAATTTCCATTATCTTTGGTGGAAATATAAGCTGTTTTAAATTCATCTGTTACGTCCATGTTTTCAGAAATGGTTTCTTTCTCCTCTTGGGTTAGGGAAAAGAAGTTATCTTTCTCTACGTCATGCACACCTTTGTTCTTAAACCCATTTATCTGGTTCATTTCCAAAATTATTTCTGTCTTCCGACTTACTTTCTGCCTGAGACTCTTCTTTATTTTCGATTTATTCTGCTTTGCAGGTGGCATATCAGTCACATGCTTTTTCACTCCCAAAATGTTTTGAGTCTCATAATCACATAGGTTCCCATCATCTCTGGTGGAAGGATCAGCTATTTGAAACTCATTTGAGTCTTCTAGGTTCATAGGGATGATTTCTTTACCCTTTTGGGTTAGAGAAAACAAGTTACCTTTTTCTGGGTCATGTATGCCTTTGTCATTATTCTCATAGATTTGGTTGATTTCAGAAACTTTTTCTGCCTTGTGATATACCTTTTGCCGAAGCTTCTTATCTATTTCTGATTGATTTTGACAAGCGGGCTGCAAATCATGGACAGGCTTTTTCACCCTCGAAACATCTTGACTCTCGAAATCATATGGGTTTCCACTATCTTTGGTGAAAAGAGCAGGTGTTGTGAACTCGCTTGGGTCTTCTTGGTTTTCAGGGATGACTGCTTTATCCTTCTGGGTTAGGAAGAAAGAGTTATCGTTTTTTTGGCAATGCATACTATTGTCATCATCTAAATAATTCATTTCAGAAATTATTTCTGTCTTTCGATTAACTTTCTGCCTAAGCTTATTAACTTTTGATTCATTTTGCTGAAGAGGGTACACATTGGTCACCCACTTTTCTAAACCTACCTCATCCTGGGTCTCACGATCACAAAGGTTTCCAGTATCGCTGGTGGAAAGAGCAGGTATTTGAAAGTCTTTAGAAACTTCTTGGCTTCCAGAGATGATTTCTTTATCTTCCACGGTTTGCAAGAATATGTTATCTTTTTCTAGGCCACATGCATCTTTAGCATTATCCCCATATAACTGGTTCGTTTCAGAAATTATTTCTGTCTTCCGATTTACTTTCTGTCTAAGCTTCTTGTTAATTTTTGATTGATTTTGCTTAGCAGGTTGCGAATCAGTGACATGCTTTTTCAAATCCAACATATTGTGACTCTCATAGTCATGTAAATTTCCATTATCCCTGGTGGAAAGATCAGCTGTTTGAAATTCATTTGTGACTTCTAGGTTTTCAGAAATGGTTTCTTTATCCTTTTGGTTTGGGAATAAGTTACCTTTTTCTAAATTATAAATCACAAATGTCTGTCTAGAAGCTTTACCTTTATTACAAGCTAGGGAACTCTGACCAATATCAAATTTAATCTCCTGTTGGAATTTATCTGAACTTTGGGAGAACAAGTATGTTTCTTCTCGCTCATCTGTTCCACATATTCTTTTATTTTTTTTATTATACTGTGTACTTTGTCTGTCATCTTGATCAAAGCCATTACGAAGTGTTATCTTCTTCAGGATTTTCAACTGAGTCAGGTGTTCAGTACTGAACATAAAATTTGGATCTTCTGAATCCCCTTTGCCATCCAAGACAACAGATCTTCTTTCTGGTCTGTTTTCAGTCTTTTCCTCAATATCCACATCTGAAGTATTTTTAAATTGTCTCTTTGATCTTTCTTTCTTTTTTTCAGAGCTTGAATTTTTCACTTTTCTGAAAGTTTTCATTCCAGTATCATTTGGTTTTTTATTACTTTTATTTTTAGTGCCTGCTGAAACTGTAACAATTTTGCTTACTTCACTTGCAGTTAAATCCATGTCAGCATCATACACAGTTTTCTGCAACTGAAGGTCACCATTACCCTGAACTTGATTCACGCTCTCTGCAGCAGGTTCACCTCCAGACTCAGAGGTGTCAGGCAGGCACTGCATGTTTCTTTGCATTTTAATATTCGTTTCATTAGTAGGATCATTTATCTCATTATTCTGAGTTAATCCTGGACTTGAAATCTGTTGTTGATCTAAACCTGTCACACAGGGAGTGTCTGCAAGATTATTTGATTCCCAAGATGACACATGTTTTTTTCTTTCAGTCACGTTACTAAGAGATGGTTTCTCCTTTCTGTGGCTGATTGATTGTACGTTCCTTATCTCACTCATTAGAGAATTCCTGGAACTTTGGTCTGAGTGGCTTTCTATAAAAGAAAGGGAAACAACCTTTAGAAATAAGTAATGACATGAAATTTATTATTTTAAACAAATTAGATTAGAAATCAGGCTGTTTCACAGGATTTCTGACAACGTGTTCTGTTCAGATACTTATATTATAAACAATCTATGCTGATAAAAAATAAAGTAGAAATGATCAGAGTATTTGTAACCCACATTTTACCTTTGTATCTATGGGAAATAGTTCCTGAGAATTCACTCAGCTTTGGTCCCAACAGAAGAGTGGAGAACAGCCAAAAGAAAAGTCATTAACATATATTTCTAGAGTGGGAGGAGGCCAGGAAACGAGCCCAAATAACAGTCATAACTCTAATAAGGATTACCATCGAAAGGCTTTCAGAAGGCAGCTGAGGTATATATAAATTGTACACATACACATACATTTTTAGAAAGTAAAAATAACTCTAAGCTGTAAATTCAATATAGTTATGGTTCCATATCCCAATCTGAAAATTTATGACAAATACATAAGCCAGCCTACACCACAGGATTATTATTCTGAAATCCCATGTAAATACAATGTAAGTGTCATCATTTTCTCTTGCTCAACCATTAGCCATGCTCAAGCTTTTGCTTTGGCACCAATAGGTTATGATTTTGAAACGCTCACTACAGCTATCTAGATACCTATTGAATCACAGATACAATTTTCGTATCTATGAAAGGGAGAACATGATACTAAATAAATATACAGTCGTGCACTGCATAAAACATTTTGGTCAATGATGCTGGTCCCATAAGATTAGTAACATATAGCCTAGGTGTGCGGTAGGCTATACTATCTAGGTTTGTGTAAGCACACTCTATGACGTTTGCATAACGATGGACTCACCTAACAATTCATTTCTCAGAACTTATCTCTGTGGTTGAGCAGTGCATGAGTGACTGCTATCTTTCAATTCATAAGCAAAGATACCAAGAAAAGTTCTTTAGGTAGGCTCATTTCTAAATACTGCTTCCAGAGTAACAGTATTAGCCCACTCTCCATTTGACATTTGTTGGCATATTTACTTTTAAAGTAAATTTTTCACCAGCAATTTTAAATGGTAAAAGTTAGTAAATCCATACAGTAAGAGATGCACCTTATTAACTGTTTATGAACCATGCCTGAAGAAGAAAATCTGATGAATGTAACTATTTCATACTGATACTCAAAATGAATTTGAAAATCTCACCTTGGGGAAGTCTATCAATAGAAGAAATATGTTCTGAATACCCTAAACTACACACGTTCTGCTTATTTTCTTTAAGAAATAACAATTCCAAATTGTACTGAGTTGATAAAGGTTGTCCCATTGATACTGAAGAGGGACTATCAGGTGATGTCTTCGATATAATATTGTCGTCACGTTGCATTTTCTCTTTATCATCATCATCATCATCATTTGAAGTTAATGGAACCCTAAAGGCAAGTGGGAAAGAATGAGGAATTTTGTATTTTACAAAAAGTATTTAGAATATTACATGGATAGTTCTTTCTATATTGCATTTATTTAAGATCCAACCACCAACCCACCCTGATACCTGTTGGGTTCAATGAAGACAATTACCGGTAGAAAACAGACAGTTTCTAATAGTACAGAACTTGGAATAAAGCAGGAATGCTTCTTACCCCCACAGCCCCAGTGGCCCCACAAGGTGATAACTAATACAATCACTGGTTAGGCTATTAGGATAACAATACTAATGAAATGAATAAAGTTTGAACATAATTATAAATACGCATGCATAATATTTAGAGTTTTCCTATAATTAATTTTATGGAATACCCAAAACTCTTCCTCTGGTTTCAAACAACTACAATTGCATGTAAAGCTATGTGTGAAATAAAGTTTGCTATGTTTCCAAAAAGCATCCATGTAAACTAAAGCCATATTCCTACAGTAGCTAAATCTATGGGGGGGGGGGGGGGATAGAAACCCACAGAAATAATCTGATACGCTGACATTCTTGAAGTTGAAGAATGAAGAGTAAGATCCCCCAATGCTAAAGATTTTCCCATGTATGCTAAACAAACTATAGATATTTAAAAATTATTGACGACGATCAAAATAAATATGGCAAAATATTTATTAAAAATTTAAAGGCAACTATTAGTAGAGCAGCCATTTGGAGGAAATTTCTATGCCACTTGAAGAAACAGGTTAACAAAAATAAATAGAGAGGAGAGAGGTTCTGCTTCTGGGTAATGCCCGAATAGCTACTATGGAATCCAACCCTATCAAACATGATGTCTATGAATTCTGGACAAAATACAAAACAAGAATTACCTGAAGTCACTGGAAAGTGAACAAAAAGCAAGTAGAAACTGAAGGGGGCTTGACACTTAGAAGAAGGGTGAGTTTCCCACTGTTGACAACTTCAGTCAGTGCCACATTTTTAAAAAGTTAGAAGTCCACAGTCAAGTTCAAAGTCAGAATTCAGGGCAAGTACAACAGCTGTCAAGTGCGTGTGATGCGGGAAATAAATGAGAGGTAGGGAGGGGAGCCTCAAATTATGTGTATGAACTCTACTCAAACCTCTAGTTGACTCTTGAATCACATATATGTGAAGAGGATTCCAAGCAGCCCCACTAAGGATAAAAGACCTGAAATGAGATTTCATATGTTACTCATTACAGAAAAGTTTAAATTCAGCCAATGTAGCTACCTACTAAAATAATAACATCAAACTTGTTGGAAAAACATAGCTGAATCCAGTTTTTCTATGACACAGGATTCACAAAGTCCAGGATACAGTCCAATATCATTCAACATATGAAGCCATAGGAAAACATGATTCAAACCCAAGAGAAAAAGATAATCAACAGAGAATGATCCTGATATATAAATGGCCAATAAGCACATGAATATATGCTCAATATCATTAGTTACAGGGAAATCCAAATCAAAACAACAGTGAGATACAACTCCATACCCACTAGGATGGCTAGAATCAAAAGGATAGACAATAACAAGTGTTGGTGAGGATATGGAGAAACTGGTGCCCTGATACTTTGCTCATTGGAATGTAAAACAGTGCAGCAGCTTTGGAAAACAGTTTGGCAGATCCTCCAAAAGTTAAATGTGGATGACCCAGCCATTCTACTTGTAGGTATATACCCAAGAGAACTGAAAACTATGTCCACACAAAAACTCTTACATGAATGTAATAGCACTATTACTCACAATAGCCAAAAAGCAGAAACAGCAAAAATGTTCATTAACTGACAATGGATAAACAAAATGTAGAATATCCATACAACAGAATATTATTTAGTCACTACAAGGAATGAAGTACTAATACATGCTACTACATGAATGAATCTTCAAAATGCTACGCTAAGTCAAAGAAGCTAGAACACAAAAGGTCACATATCGTGTGATTCCATTCTGATGAAATGTCCAAAATAGACAATTCCATAGAGACAGAAAGTAGATTAGTGGTTGCCAGGGGCTAGGGAAGAGGACAATGGGAAGTGAATGCTAATGGATTCACGCTCTCCTTTTGGAGTGATGGAAATATTCCAATGGAACTGGATAGTGGAAAAGGTTGTACAACTTTGTGAATATACTAAAACCACTGCGCTCTACACTTTAAAAGGGTGAATTTCATGGTATGAGAAATTTTATCTGTGAATTATCTCAATTTTTAAAAAATTAAGAAGAAAGGAAATAATAAAGAGCAAACACCAAGGATATATGAAATGGAAGAAAAACTGGTAATAAAAATCAATGAAACCAAAAGCTGAGCTTTTTAAGAGATCAATAAAACTGATATAACTCTAGCTAGTTTGAGAAAAAATAAAGATAGAAGACACAAAATACCAATATCAGGAATGAAAGAAAGGACCTCACTAGAGATGCCACAGGCATTAAAAGAATGAGGGCATATTATAAACAACTTTATACCAAGATACTTGACTGCCTACATGAAATGAATGATTTTCTAGAAAGACAAATATTTTATAAATTAACTTGAAAAGAAATAGAAAATCTGAAGAGCCCCATATCTGTTTAGGAAGTCAAATTAATAAGTAAAAACTCCAGGCCCAAATTACTTCTCTTGTGAATTCTCTCAAACATCTAAAGAACAAATACCAATTGTATAAACTCTTTCAGAAAATGGAGGAAAGGGGAATGCTTTTCATCTCATTTTACAAAGCCAGCAAAACCCTTACCAAAACCTATAAGAAAATTATACCTCTTAGGAACACAGGTATAAAAATCTTTAAGAAAATATTAGCAAATCAAATCTATCAATATATAGACAGAATAATACACCATGACCAACTGAAATTTATTCTAGGAATGCAAAGTTGGTTTAACATTAGAAAATCAATTGAAGTCATCATATTAAAGGAGAAAAGTCATGATTCTCTACAGATACAGAAAAGACATTTGACAAAATTCAATAAAAAGTCATTACAAAAACTCTCAGCAAACCAGAATAAAAAGGAACTTCTTAAACTTGGAAAAACAGTGCAAACTTTTCAAGAGAAAAGATAGTAGCTAGAAGACAACGAAACGGCACTTTTAAATTACTGAAAGAAAATTCCCAACCTCCAATTGTATAACTGTAAACATACTCTTAAAAATGAAGGTGAAATAAGTATGTTTCCAAAAAAACAAAAACTGAGCAAATGCATTGCCAGTACTTGCACTGAAAGAAATAATAAAGAATGTCTTCAGGCAAAAGGAAAATTATCTCAGGAGGAAATATCGAAATGCAGGAAGCTTAATGGTCAATTTTACCTCAATAAAGCTGAAAGAAATAATAAAAATAAGACTATGAATGAGAATACAATAAAAAATTGCAGGAAGCAATATGAAAAAATAGAAAAGTTAAATACATAGGTAATTATACATGAATATTGACTACACAAAACAATGAAAAGTAGCAATTTGTGGAACTAAAATATATGCTGAATGAAAATACATAAAAATATAAAGGCAGAACACAGGAATGTGGGATTGAAGCATTCCAAGGTGCTGGCATTATTCAGGAAGTGCTGAAGTAATATTTTGTATGACAATGTAATAAATCAAGGATGAATATTGCTATCACCAGAGTAATCATAAAAGAATAGAAGATACCGAGTTAATAGATAAGAAAAATCAAATACAGTAGTCCCCTCTTATCCGCGGTTTTGCTTTCCATGGTTTTCATTACCCGCAGTCAACCAAGGTCCACAACGCCTCCATCATTCACCTCACTTCATCTCATCACGTCGGCATTGTACCATCTCACGGCATCACAAGAAGGATGAGTACAGTACAATAAGATATTTTGAGAGAGAGACAGAGACCACAATCAAATAACTTTTATTACAGTATATTGTTACACTTGTCCTATTTTATTATTATTCATTGCTTTTAATCTCTTACTGTGCCTAATTTCTAAATTAAACTTTATCATAGGTATGTATATATACAAAAAAACATAGTATAAAAGGGTTTGATACTATCTGCAGTTTCAGGCATCCCCTGGGGGTCTTGGAACAGATCCCCTGCAGATAAAGGGGAAGACTACTGTAATGAAAAATATTTGATTTCAAAAGACATCAAGACAGGAGAGAAAAAGGAACATAAAACAGGTAGCCCAAATAGAAAATGACCAGATGGCAGATATAAATCCAACTATATCAGCAATTACATTAAACATAAACAAATTAAATATTCTATGATGTTACAGTGGACTTATTTTCTAAAAAAGATGAACCTATATGCATTTTAAATATGAGAAAGTTTGAAAGTAAAGTTATAGAAAAAGATATACCATGGAAATGGTATATCAGACAAGTACACTTTAAAGCAGGAATCATTTCTAGAAATATTTCATATTGATAAAATAATCAATTCAGCAGGAAATCAATCCTAAATTTATATGCATCTCATAACAACTTTAAAATATATATAGCAAAAACTGACAAAACTAAAAGGAGAAATAGATGAGTCCATAGTCATAGTGGTAGATTGATGCTCTCCTCTCAACAGCTGATAGAATAAACAGACAAGAGAAGCAAGAAGGCTATAGAAGATTTGAGCAATAGAATCAACAAATTAGACACAACTGACATACATAGAATACTGCACTCAACAACCACAAAGTGTACACTATTTTCATGTGCATCCTAAATGTTTACTGAATTAGACCAAGATGTGTTCTAATACAGGTCTCAATAAATTTCAACACCCTAAAATAATTTTAACTATGTTCTGTAACTATAACGGAATTAAGGTAGAAACTGACAATAAAAAGTAATTAGAAAAAAATACCCAGCTACTTGGAAATTAAATAATATACTTGTAAGTGCTCCATGGGTCAAAAAGTATAGCAACACAGAAAGTAACAAATATTTTGAACTGACTGATGATAAGGATATGGCATACCAAAAATTGTGGGATGAAGGTAAAGCAGTACTTATAGGAAAACAGCTTTATTTTTTAAAAGAAAGACTGAAAAGCAATAATCTAAACAATCTCAAGAAACCAATAATAATGGTAATAATAATAAAAATTTTAAATTGAAAAGAAAGGAAAAGCAAAACAGAGGGAAGAAAAGAAACATGAGAAGAATAAATGTAATAGAAAACAAAAATACTAAAAAGAAAGATCAACATAGCCCTAAAGATGATTATGTCTGCCAAGACAAAGAAAACTGATAAACCCTTAGAACAAAATTAATCAAGAAAAAAGTGAGAAAACACAAATAGCCAATATGGAGGAAAAAAAAGAGAACATCACTACATACCCTGTAGACATTAAACACATAGAGATACTATGAACAGCCCTATGCCAACAAATTCATATTTTAGATGAAATACACAAATTCTTTTAAAAGGTTGACAAATCTGACAAAAAAATAAAAAATCTTAATATTCTTCTATCTATTAAAATGGTATGCTATCAAAAACATTTCCACAAGAAAACCACAGACCCACATAAACTTCTCCCAAGCATTTAAAGAATAAACAAGAATAATTTTACACAAATACTTCCAGAAAACAGAAAAAGAACTGCACTTATAAATTCATTTACTAGCGTAATATAAATAACAAAATTTGATAAAATATATTACAAGAAAGGAAAATTATAAACCATCTTCTTTATTAACATACATTCAAAAATAGTTTAAAAAACTAGCAAATAGAATTGAGTGAAACATCAAAAGGATGTATTAACAGGAGCAGTTCACTGTAGGAATGCAATGGCAGTTTAACATTCAAAAATCAATTTTTAGGGCCGGCCCCGTGGCTTAGCGGTTGGGTGCACTTGCTCCGCTGCTGGCGGCCCAGGTTTGGATCCCGGGCATGCACCGACGCACCGCTTCTCCGGCCATGCTGAGGCCGCGTCTCACATACAGCAACTAGAAGGATGTGCAGCTATGACATACAACTATCTACTGAGGCTTTAGGGGAAAAAAAAATTTTTTTAAAAATCAATTTTTATAATTCATTACATTAATAGAAAAAGAAAGAAAAAAGTACTATTTTTTCAACAGTGACAGGAAAAGCATCTGATAAAATTCAACAGCCATTATTCTGATAAGGAGAATCTACAAAAACCCAAGAGCAAACAAATTAAATAATGGGAACACAATAAGAATGCCAACTACTACTACTTTTATTCATTACTGAACAAGAAGTAGCCACTGCAATAAGGTAAGAAAAAAATAAAAGTCTTTTAACTGAAGCGAGGGAGGAAGAAAACTGTCCTTATTCACATATAATAAAATTATATCCATAGAAAATGAAAAAAACCCCACCTCAGATATACTATTAAAATTAACAGCAAGGTCACTGGAAACAAAGTCAATATTAAAAACTTAATTATATTTCTATATACTAGCACCAAGAAGGTGAAATTTAAAAACCAACAACATTCAGAGTATCACTAAAAATATCAAGTAAGTAGGAATAAATCTAAGATGTGCAAGAACTCTATTCAAAAAACTACAAAACATTCAGAGAACACACATAATATCTAAATAAACAGTGATATACCATGTTCACGGATGGAACTCTCAATTTTACAAAATGTCAATTTCCCCCAAACTGAACTATATTCCATGTAACCCCAATCAAAATTCCAGAAGTGAGAGACAGTGTGCGTGTGTGCATCTGTCTGTGTAAATTGACAAGCTGATTCTAAAATTCACATGGAGGGGCGGGCCTGGTGGCACAAGCAGTTAAGTGTGTGCACTCTGCTGCGACAGCCCGGGATTCGCCGGTTCAGATCCCAGGCACACACCGACGCACCACTTGTCAAGCCATGCTGTGGCAGTGTCTCATATAAAGTGAAGGAAGATGGGCATGGATGTTAACCCAGGGCCAGTCTTCCTTAGCAAAAAGAAGAGGATTGGCAGATGTTAGCTCAGGACTGATATTCCTCACAAAAAAAAAAACCTTAAAATACACATGGAAACGCAAAGGGCCAAGAATAGCCAAGATAATATTTAAGAACAAAAAAATGAATAAAAAGGAGATTTACTATCAAATATCAAGGCTTATCACCGACCTAGTCTTTTAGTGTGGTAGTGACAAAAAAACTCATATAAGAGAACAGTGAGCTCAGAAACACACCCATGCACAGCCAGTCACTTGATTGATGATACAGATGACACTACAATGAGGCAGGGAAAGGATGGCCTTTTCAATAAATGGCGCAAGGTCAATAGGATTTCCAAATGAAAAATGAGGACCCTTTCCTCACATTATACCTAAAATTCCAAGTAGAATGAAGAATGCGAATGTGAAATGTGAAAGGGAAAGTAATAAAGCTTTTAAAAGAAAACACAGGAGAACACCTCATGACCTTGCATTTAGTAAAGATTTTCTTAAAGGGACACAGAAACTAGTAACCATAAGGGGTAGGAGATAGACAGATAGATAGATAGACAGATAGATAGATAGATAGATTATATAAACATATAAATTGGATTTTATACAGAACTTTTGTTTACCTAAAAACACCATTAACAGAGTGAACAGGCAAGCCACAGAGTAAAAGATATTTGTAATACACAAAGAACTTACACACAACATACATAAAGAATTCCTGCAAATGTATAAAAAAATTGATAAGACAACCCAATAGAAAGAAAACAAACATATAAGCAGATGCTTAATTTCATCAGTCATCAGGGAAATTAAAATTAAAACCTCAATGTAATACCACTACACACACCCCAAGATGTCTAAAATGAAAAAGACAATACCAAGTGCTGTTGAGGATATGGAACAACAGGAATTCTCATGTACTCCTGCTAGGAATGTAAATTGGTATAACCCCTTTAGGAAACTGTTTGGTAGTTTCTCCTAGAGCCAAATATATGTAAATCCAGTAATTCTACTCCTAGGTATATACTCAACAGAAATGTGTACATACATTAATCAAAAGGCATATACATGGCAGCACTATTTGTAATAGACCAAAACTAGAAAAAAAACTAAATGTTCACCATCAGAGGGATGAATAATTGTGGTATAATCATACAATGGAGTACTATGCAGCAATGAGAATGACTGATCTACAACTACATATGACAATGGGAATGAATCTCACAGACACAATGCTGAGCAAAAGAAGCCAGAGACAAAAGTCATACATGCTAAACAATATAATTCTATGAAGTTCAAAACTAAGTAATCTATTAGATTAACCTAGAAGTCAGGATAATATTTATCTTTGGGTGGGTGGTGAGTAGAGACTAGAAAGAGGCACAAGGTGGTATCTGAGGTCCCGGTCATATTCTGTTTCTTGATCTGGGTATTCGTTATACAACAGTGTTCTCTTTGTGAAAATTCACCATGCTCTAAAGCACTTTTCTAATACATATATTATACTTCAAACAAAAATTTACTTAAAAAATACAATAAAATTGTTTGGAAGGCAGGTGGACATTTGATTTGTATGACATTGGTATGAAACAATGCGTGCATAATGACAGCCAAAATATTCTTGAAAAAGATCTAAGTAAAAGATTAGAAGACAACAAAGTGTACTATTTTAAAACTACAGCAGTTAAAATGTACTGGTGGAGTGTGGTGCTAGTGCAGCATAATAGGCAAAACAATGCAACAAACTAGAAGGAATACAAAGTGACACAGTAGATTTAAGACATAAGAATTTTTTACTATGGTACAGATGGCATTTCAATATATAAGTGCATTTGCTTGTCCACTTGAATAAAAGCATTAAATCTATAAATTATAGAAAAGAAATACATTGTCTAAAAGAGACAAGAGAATTTTGGTCAATAACATTAATTCATTAAGTCATTTTACCTTTTGTGACCTCAGTGACTGTCTTTAAAAGGACAGGTTTGAAATAGGGTGTTTACTATGACTTACAACCAAATTAATCAAGAAATGGGAATTTGGGTCAGGAGAAAGCAATGATGAAAGTTCATTTTAAAGTCTGGAGCAGTATGCAAGATAATAAAGGTACAAACAGTTATCAGATTTCCCCAGTAGAAAACAGTGAGGCCGGCGGTGACCCGGGGGGAAAAGAAAGAAAAGAACTGAAGAGTTCTACTACATCTCCTACAGATGAACCTGATCACTGAATTGATGGGTAAGTGAACTTGGAGGCCTGGAGACACAGCCTGTAGCAAATACCACAAACCATCTCATTCCCACCTCAGGAGGCAACTACAGGGTGATGAAACGCAAACAGCGCATAACACACACAGACTGACTGTGTCATATGAAAATCTAAATACGGGTCTCAGAGTAGTGGTTAAGTTCAGGGACACCTCTTCTGTGGCCCAGGGTTCGCCGGTGTGGATCCTCGGAGGGGACCTACACACTGCTCTTCAAGCCATGCTGAGGCGGCATCCCACATAGAGCAACTAGAAGGATATACAACTATGACATACAACTATTTACTGGGGTTTTGGGGAGAAAAACGGAAAAAAAGAGCAAGATTAGCAAGAGATGTTAGCTCAGGGCCAATCTTCCACAAAAAAAAAAAAAAAAGACCTAAATACTTTGAACCACTGTAATTCAAACCTGCATTACGAAAGATCCACTTGTGCCTCCTTCTTCTCTAGAGTCTATAGCAAAGCTGAAGAATATTTCAAAGTTTAAAACTGAATTCCATCAGCGTATGTGTTCAATCACTTTTACCAGCAAAATGTTAACAAGTATTTCATTATTTATTTTTAAATGGTTTTCTGTGTTTAAAGGAAGCAGACCAAATAAAAACTATTTAAAGCCCAATTCAGGCAGAAGTGTGCAAGTCAACATTTAACCAAGTTTTGAAGCAATTACCTTGCAAACGGAAGACGCATCAACTTGCACTGTTTACTAACCCGTTTCTTCTTGCTAGCTGGCAGTAGAAAGGAACTCTGATGGAACTATTTTTGAAAAGAACAAAGAAAATGAAAAGGAACAAAATGTCTAATCTCATTATATCATGCTTCTTATTGAAATACCAAGAACACCAATAGTAATAGAATAATTCTTTAATTAGCTTTCAATAGTTGAATGAGAACAATGCAATGATAAGGTTAAACATACTTCATCCTTAATCATGCCATCTAAAGATAATCACTACTAACTATACCACTACTAAAAATCACTACTAATATTATTAAACTTTCTTGTACGCATAGGAATAAACACACGTGTATACCCACACATATACAATATCGCTACATATATGTGCAACACACTCATGTCTACATACATATTATATAATACACTACTGGATTTCATAATACATATTTTGTGTGTGTGTGTATGAGAAAGATCATCCCTCAGATAACATCCAATGCCAATCCTCCTATTTTTTTGCTGGGGAAGATTGGCCCTGAGGTAATATCCATGCCCATCTTCCTCTACTTTATATGGGACGCCGCCACAGCATGACTTGACAAGTGGTGCGTTGGTGCGTGCCTGGGATCCGAACCTGCGAACCCTGGGCCGCCGAAGCAGAGTGTGCGCACTTAATGGCTTGTGCCACTGGGCCGGCTGCTCATAATACATATTTTTAAATGACCTTTTAGAAGTCAAAGTCTAGGTGATTTTAATGTATCTTTTAAATTTTTGCTTATCTGTATTTTCTAAGTTTTCTGACATTTTCTGAACACATTTTAATTATTTAATAAAGACCATAAAATTAGGCAACATGCCACCATCTTTTCCTATTACAGCACTAACCTGCAATACAAACAGGGGTATGGCCAAATTGACAAACTGATTTTAAAATTCATATGGAAATGCAAAGGACCTAGAATAGCTAAAACAACTTTGAAAAGGAAGAACAAAGTTGGAGGGATATGGTAATTGAAATAGTATAGTATTAGCACAAAGGCAGACAAATAGATCAACGAAATAGAAGAGAGTCCAGAAATAGACCCACACATATGTGGTCAACTAATTTTTGATAAAGGTGCAAAGCCAAATGGAGAGCCTAGACTTCCACACTCACCAAGCTATAACAAGGCAACTCTCTTCCAAACCAGGGGTACCATCAGAGAAGGCCAAGGGGAGAGCTGGGACAGCATCCCCCAACCCGGCAATGTCAGTGGAGAACACGTGGGGACTCTGGATTCCATCCTCACTCGCTAATATCAAGGAGCCCCTCTCCCTCTCCTCTAAGGTGGTGACATACGATGTCCAGTAGAGAGCCAGGATTTTCACCACTCTTCAGTGGTAGTAACCTCCCCCTGCTTCATTACTCCCCTCATCCTTGTGTCCCTGGAGGCCGTAAAAGTAATGAGGCACCACTCCTGTCCCAGCCAGAGTGGTGTCAGCTTGAACTCCCAGCCCCACCCATCAGTTAGGAGACACCTCTCAGCCCCAGGGTGTAACAGAGGCTGAGTGGGGAACTTAAACTTTGACCCCTCACTTGGCTGTAGGTGGCTCTTCCCTTTACCACCACATGGTGTCAGAGGAAGCCTGCTAAAAGAGAAGGTTTAAATAAGATCCAGAGTCTCAGAATAAAATCCCCAGAAGTCTAAGATTTAATCAAAAACAACTCATCACATCAACAATTAGGAAAATCTAAATTTCGATGTGAAAAGACAATCAACAACCACCAACACCAAGAGGACACAGACGCTGGAATTCTCTAACAAGGATTTTAAAGCAACGATCATAAAAATGATTCAATAAGCAATTACTAACATGCTTAAAACAAATGAAAAAACAGAAAGTCGCAGCAAAGAAATAGATGTAAAGAAGAACCAAATGGAAACTTAGAACTGAAAAATACAATAAGCAAAATAAATTAAAAACTCAATGAACTCAACAGCAAAATGGAGAGGACAGAGGGAAAAGAATCTGTGAACTTGAAGACAGAGCGATAAAGCTCGCATCTAAGCGAGAGAGAAGAGACTGAAAAAAATTACGAGTGGGCCAGGGATTTGTGGGACTATAACAAAGATACACCATTCATGTCATCAGAGTCCCAGAAGGAGAGAAGAAGGAGAACAGGGCTGAAAAAGTTTGGGGGAAATAATGGGAGAAAATGCCCCAAACCTGGCAAAAGAAATCAACCTACATATTCAAGCTGAGTGAACTTCAAAAAGGATAAACCCAAAGAAATCCATGCCTAGACACATCGTAGCCAAATTTCTCAAAACTAAAGACAAAGACAAAAGTCTTGAGAGCATTGAGAGAGAAATGACACCTCACCTACAGAGTTAAGAACGAATAAAAAATAAATATGTATCTGGCTCAAAGTTAGAAGTAACAATAAAATAAAACACAGAAAAGCACAAGAAAGGACTTCCTACCAAAGAGAAAAGCAAAATTAATAAGTTTGAAACACCAAAATAGTGTAACTCAAAATTAAATAAAAAAGACGATGCTTTAAAAGAACAAAAAATATAGAAAAATAACAACAACCTAGTGGGGGCAAAAAAAAACAAAACAAAAAAGAGAAAAGCCAAAATACATGAAATTAGTCTACTGGGGGAATATACAACACAGACAAAATTTAAAGAATAACAAACAATCTGGGTCAACTCTATGCAAATCTGTTTGAAAACACAGATGAGACAGATAATTTTCTAAGGAAATAAAATTTAATAAAACTGACCACGAAAGAGAGAAAGAAATTTTCCTAAGCAAACCAATACACACAGAAGAAATAAAGTTAACAAAGAGCTACCATTCCCACCAACACAGACGCAGGTCCAGATGGTTTCACAGAAGAATTCTACCAAACCTTAAAGAAAAAATAATTCTAACACTATATCATTCTTCCAGAGCATAGGGAAAGGAAAACACCCAAATTCTTTTTATGAGTTTAATATACATAAAGTTTTTATCAATGCCTAAAGACTATACAAAAAGAAAACTTCAAAGAAACCTCACTTATGAATAACAATAAAAAATTCCCGAACAAAATATTGGCCAAAACAATTCAGTAGCACATTAAAAGAATAACAAGTCATTTCTGAGGTTTATCTTAGAAATGCAAAATTAGGAAAGCTACTAATTTAAAGTCATCATATTAACATACCTAAAAGGAAAGACCACATGATCATCACCCTAGGTGCTAAAAACATATTTTACACTATTTATCATTATTTTTATTCAAAAAGCTCAATAAAAGAAGTATTACAGGATAAATATGTACCTTATCCTTAAAAAAAAAACCACAAGCATCATTCTTAATGGAGGAAACACCATTCAAAGTATTAAGAGTATTTATCCCGTCTACTATGTTCCAGACATTGCTGTGGTATAGACAAAAGTCCTGTACTCAGGAAGATTACATTCTGGGAGGATGAACCATTAACAAGTAAAATTATACGTTATATAGTGTCAAGTGCTAAGAACAATTACAGCAGGGAAGCAGAACACGAATCCTTCGGCAGGGGAGGGGAAGGATCCAGGTTTATACAGGGTTGCCAGGGAAGGCTTCACTGAAGTGACTTCTGAGTGACGCTTTGAAGGAAGTCAGGGAACTGGCCACATGAAGGAAGAATGAGTCCAAAGGCCCTGAGGGGGCAGCGTGTCTGTGTGTGAGGGAGTGGGAGGAGGCCTGTGCACAGAAGATGTTCAAGAGCAGGAGGGCGAGTAGCAGATGAGGGGAGAGACAGAGCAGAGTTTCAGGTTCAGATAACACCAGGCAGTAGACGTGATGGGAAGCCACTGGAGGGTTTTAAGCAGAGACTAACCTTTCAACGGGATCACTGGCTGCCATGCTGAGAAGAGAATACAGGGGGCAAGAGCAGAAGCAAGAAGCCCCAGCTGGGATGCTACTGCAACAATTCAGAGAAGAGATCATGGTGGCTCGGATATGGGTGGTGACAGTGAGGGTTGTGAGAAGTGACAGAATTCTGGACTGATTTTTAAGGTGGCACCAAAAGAATTTTCTAAAGGATCAGATACGGGGTGTGAGGAAAAGATAGGAAAATAGAGTTGTAATTGCCTGAGATGAAGACCCCAAAAGGAGCTGTTTTGGTGGCAAACGTGAAATTTGAGATGCCCCTTAGACATCCAAATAGAAATGCCAAGTAGGTAGCTGGATATGTCTAGTCTGGAGTTCAGAGGAGATGACCAGGCTGGAGACGCAAATCTGGGAGTCATCAGTATTTAACAGCAATTAAAACCACAAGACTGGATGAAATCATTTAGGGAACTAGTGTAGATAGAAGAGTAAAGTCCAAAAACTGAGTCCTGGGGTGCCCTAAATTTAGGTGTCGGGAAAATAAAGAGGAACCAGCAAACAGACCAAAAAGGAACAGTCAGAAAGTTAGGAAGAAACTCAGGAGAGTGTGGTATCCTAAGTCACGCGAAGATCAACATAAAGACCACAAATATCCGGAGTTCTGGCAACAGTGGAGGTCAATTTTCAGAAGAGTGGTTTTCACAGGGTGGTGGTGAACACCCAATGGGTGCAGTTTCCAGAGAAACTGGAGACTGGGAACCGTTCTCTCAAAGAGTTGCCCTATAAAGCTGAGAGAAAAATGAGATAGCATAGCTGGGGTGAGGGGTGTGAGTGGAGCAAGAGGTTTTATTTTTGTTCTCCTTCTTTCTTTCTTTTTAAGATGGGAGATAACATTTCTGCGTCCTAATGGGAATAATGCCAAGGGAGGAAAAACATTAATAATGCAAGAGGAAAAGGCAGTGTATACCAACATCAAGCCACCAGCAAAACACGCCAAATGTCCATCGACAGGAGCCCAGTTCAATGGCCTGGAAGTCCACTCTAGATCTGTCCTCAGCAGCACTAAGAAGAATGAGGAAGCATTCCCTGTGATCATATGAGAGATCTTCCTTCAAGATACGTCACATAAAAAAAGTAAGCCATAGAGCAGTTGGTACAGTATGTTATCTTTTGTGTAAGAAAGAAAATATTTATATGTAAAACAAACAAGAGCAGTTACCTGCATGAGGTGTGGGGAGAAGAGAGGAGAATGGAGAGGAAAGTAGCTGGTGGCAGAACAGAAGCATGTGTGAGACCTCATTCTATACTTCCTTATACTGTTCTAGTATTAGAACCACGTGTCTATATTATCCACCCCCCGCCCCCTCAATTAAAAAGAAAAGCAATTGTGAAACTTGGTATGCAAAAGTTATTCTGTTAAATAAGAAGTCCAAGAAAGTGGACTTCAAAGTTTTATGATGTCCCTTCATCCTCCAGCTTCTGCATCCATTTACTCTGTTTTTTACTTTTCCTCAATCCAGATGCTGATCTCCAAAGAGAACCACACAAAAAAACATGTGGGAACAATGCTGACTTTACCAAAGATTTTTTAGAGAACCAATAGAGGAAAGGAGCTTTACATCACATAACTCACAACAGCCAGTTTTTTTGGGCTATCTGTTCTCCAAAGTTCCTTGAGCTATGGCTGGTATGACTCTCCTCCTTTCTACATCCTGCCAATTAGCTTCTTTCTCTTACTCTCCAAGTTAATTCCTATACTGACTCTACACTCCCCACTGCTATACCTGTTTCTAGTCTTACTAATTTATTCAGGGCAATTCAATTCTGCCTTGTAAGCTGACCAGCAAAACAGAGCACCCTCCTGGACTCCCCGCACCCAGCCACCCAGTGAAAAGCATCTCTTCTCCTTAGAGGGTGATAAATGCGTAAGGTCCACCTCTGCTCACTGGTTATCCTAGGTCTCACATTTATAACGCTAGTAGCTACACCCGATGTGAACACTATTCCACAGGGACATTTACACAAATCCTCTCTTCAGCCAAATGTGGATTAAGTGAGACCATAAAGTACCTATTCTTCGGCTAGCTTTTATAAAAATTATGACAAAGGAGCTAAACATTGACCACACAGGTTGCAAGAGTTCATATCTTCTTACCACAAAGACTATGCATTTAAGAGCCTTATAAATGAATTTAAAAAGTTTTTTAAAAAAGAGATTTGCAGAGAATTTAAAAAACACAGGAAAATACATATACAACAAAAAATATGCTAGCTAGCATTTACCACATTCTTCCTATTTCCAGGACACATACTAGCCAGTTAACTCTTACAGTAACTCTGTAGATACACTACCATTATCCACACCATGCAGATGAGGACATTAAGGTTCAAAGAGTTCAAGGCCAAAGTCACAGAACCAGGAAGTAGCCGAGTTGGGATCTAAACATAGGCAATCCCACTTCAAAGCTACTCTCTGAAGCACTAAACTGTCTCCAGAATCTATCAAGAAATTTAGGTAAAATTGGGACTTCATTAACTTTTTTCAGTTTATCTATTACGTATATTTTCCTTCTCATTAGTCATTCCTTCACAACAATTATTTCTCCTCTTAAGACACTTGAGTTAATTTCATTAATATTTGGTCCTTCTTCATTCCTGATTTTTCTACTGATTTTATTTTCCTCGTGCAAGATTATAAGAGCACTTTAACTACTAATATTAATGCTTTGTCTGACACATGTTTAATTTTCCTAGTCTGCCATTTACCTTTGATTTTTAGCCTTCCAAAAATTTTTTTCCTGAGAAAATCCACCAAGAGCTTCCTTTATGGTTTCTTTGTTTCCAGGTATAGAACGGCCTCTCTTTCCTAATGGGAATTCATTTGTATTTTCTTCTCATTTTATATGATTTCCTTTTTTACATTTAAATCCATCTAGAATTTATTTTAGAGAATGGTATAAAGTAGGATCTGACTGTATTTTTCCCCAAATAGTTTTTCGTGTCTATCTTTTTTTTTAATACTAAAAATTCTTTCCTAGTTTGAAATACTAACTTTCTACTCATATCTTTTATGTTTTTTAATCTATTTAGGGGCCATTACATTCCACTGAGCAGTCTAATCCTGTTTTAATCAAAATCTAATTTTTATATAATAATTTCAACAATGGATTATACCAAATAACATGCTGTTAGCCAGTTAAAACTGATATTATCGTCATTCCTTTGCACAAAGTTTAAGATATGAATCTCTAACTCTGATGTTATTTAATCTCAATTATCCTCAGTAACGCTAAAAAATTACTCTGCTTACATATAAATTCTACTTACCTCAGAAAGAGTGCTCATTTCAATTGCAGTTATCAAGTTATTGTTCATGAGTGCTTCTATTTCTATAAGCTTCTTATTCTGTATATGTAAAATAGATTCCTTTTAATCAATTAAGATATGGAGTTTATTACACCATACCTTTATGAATACCATCAGTTGAGAAGACTTAGAAAATAACCAAGATCACATTGAGCTAAAAATTAAGATCACACTGAGCTAAGAAGGTACTATACTGTATAGTCCAAACAGCCATATATACACATACACATACACACACACGTTCTGAATGCTTTTGAGTGATCAATTGTAAATTTTCCTACAAACATTTTTCTATCCGCTCATAATAATAGATCACATAGCAAGTGAACATAGTTCGTCAGCCCCAGGAATTTAAACCTTCTAGTAGGTCATTTTTCCATTTTAAATTCATTTTCACTCATTTTAGAGTTACATCTATAGTTGCAGCCTGGGTAATCATTGGCTTTTACTGCCTTTCTGTGGACAGAGTTGGAAGTTGAAAGGAAATGCAACAACTATAATCTTCATTCTATTTGGCTGTAGCCAGTGAAATGATGGGATCAAGGAGAATACCAACACTCTGGGAACTCTCTCCTTTAAATTCACTGGGGGAACTATGCCCATCTTCTTAAAATGTACTAATGCCCAAGTTTTGCTTATGACAAGCAATCAGATGTTGATCAAGGTATTATACTAGTTTGCAGAGTCACAAGTACACATCTAGAATGCAGACTTACGACACCGATTTTATTACCCAGTAACAGTCTGTCCACTCTTTCAACAATTTTTTACAATAATTAGAGATTTGAAAAACATTTTTAGAGCTTCTTTAATAATATAGTTAAGATTTTAGCTATAATTTAGAATTCAAACATAATGTGGTTTCCATACCAAATTATTTAGCTTTAGGCGAAGAAATGTGTTCTCGAAATTCAGTTTCTCCACTTCTTTTTGCAACAGCATCATTTCAGTTGTAATTCTTCGAGAATTCTCTTTCTCTCTACTAAGAGCCTGAGCTAATGCCCTGTTGTTGTGCTTTAAAGAAATTTTGAAAATAGAAGAATTGTCTGTAAAAAGATTTTAGGAGAGTTAATATTGAACCTATACCTTAATAAAATTTCAGATTCCTTTATAAAACTATTTTAGACAAAATTGCACTTTATAACTTTTAACTAAAGGTTGGAAAAGAACAGAATGACACCATAGATGTAGTTTTGAAAAAAAATGTACCCAGAGTTTGGAGCTGAAGAAATAAAATCTAGATAGAAGATGAAAAATAAGAGTTGTGAGAAATGCAGAATGTTTGTGACTGCAGAGTTGGGAACAAGAGGACTCCAGTAGAGACACTGCATTCCGGGTAATTAGATCAGTCACAAAAACTACACCTTGATACTATTGCCCTGCCTTCCTTCCTACCTTTGACTAGGAGGTAGAATGGAGAAGCTGATCCCGCAGCCAGAACTGAGATCTCCCATAGGAATTAGCGTAGCCAATCTGTGGAAATTTTAAAGCCAGTTTCCGTGGCTCCAGAATTGAACAAATTAGTTAATGCTCCTCAAGTCCATTTTTCAAAACCTTGAGTGAAAGGGAGCATACTTACTACAATGTTGGACAGATCAGCTAAACCCTGTGGGATCTTCGACCTCCACTCCAAATACCCTACCTTTTATTTTTAGGCATCTACTGCAATCTAAACTTGACGTCTTCTCTTTACAAACGCTATGTAAATATAATTTAAATCAGAAATGCTTTCCTGTCGTTAGCAAAGAAATTTTATTGTGACTTCCTTGGTAAAGCTCACCTTGAATACAGTATGTTCCCTTAGTACACTTAGCGTAATTATCTTTTCTTGATTTACATGCCACTATTCAATAACATATTTACTGAATAAAAGTACAGTGTATGTAAAACACATTTATAAAAGTAATAATATATTTTAAATATGCAGGGAAAGCTTGGGCATCTAACAAACAGGGTCCAAAAACAAACTTTATCTTTGGCACAGAAAGTAGTTTTAGATAGCCACCTTTGACATAGCAAATGGAAACAGACTAGAAACAGTTTAGGACTTCCTGCTGCATTCCTCAAACTCAGTATATTCTTTCATAACAGTGGGTGTGCAATGGTCCTGCCAAAGAGAACAGGAAATAGCTGCTACAGGAGGTGGCCTAGTATTTACCACAGCCCTGGAGGCTGGGGTAGGAGCAACATTATGATTTAAAGACACTCAGCAGGCTCGGCTACATCACAAAGCACACACAATTACCCTTCACAGGTGCTATATCAGCCAGAAACCTTGCCGGCTCCTGCTAAGACGGCTCCTGCTAAGACGGCTCCTGCTAAGACGGAGATGAACCTTTGAGATAATTTTCAAAAGCAATGAAAATTTATGTTATGGAGTTTTTTCCACTTCCTTTTTTTGCCCTTCTGACATCCTAGTTCCAGAATCCATGAAACCCCATCTCCAAAGTGCTCAGTGCCCTCCTGAGGAGCTTTGGCGATATAAAATCACCCACTATGGCACCCTACTGGGCCAACCAGCTCTAGATTACGCATCATCCAATTGCTAGAAGAACAATCTGTCATTTCTTTTAGCTCTCTTCCAGAAATGTCACATGGGTATTTTCTTTGCGGTGTATGAGGAAGCTGCCTTGGGCCACCCCAGCCTCACTCCTGAAAATTCAGCTGTCACTACTGAAGGTAAATCACCATAACCACTCAACTAATAGGAGTTGGGGGAATAGGGAGGATTGAGCAGGGAAAAAAGTCTCATTTAACAAGATAGTCATTTCAGTCAGTTTCTATACTTGATAAAGTACCAAATACTATATTACTTCTCCAGGGGAAAGTAAAAAGGTGAGTATTCTTTAAAACTGATGGCACTTACTTATTATTTTTGTTTTGATTTTGGAAGCAAGAGAAACATTCAACTTAGCAGTCTTTGAAATTCTTTTGTCTTTCCCATGTCTCTTGACTCCTGAAGGAAAAAGTGAGCCAGTTTCCATCACTGGGTACTCCATCACTGAAGTGGGGGAAAAAAGAAAGAAAGAAACCATAGTATTGATGAATAAAAGAAAAAACAACAACTGATAAATATATTCTAAAAAGTAACGATCATGACTTAAATAATGTATTTTTTTTGTACATAAGCATTTGCAAAGACAATTAAGTTTTTGCTCTCACCACTACTGTATGGAAATTGATCATTAAGGTCACTAAATTGCCATGTTACTAAATCAGATACAGTAGTCAAGGCCCAGTTCTTGTTTTATTTGACCTATGGGCAGTATTTCACATCAGATCATTCTCTCCTTGAAATACCTTCTTCGGCTGGCTCCCAAAACACCATATTCTCCTGGGTTTTCTCCCGCCTCACTGACCACTTCTTCAAAACCTCTTTTGCTGGTTATTCTTCAGCTCTCTAATCTCCTACCATTAGAGTGCCCCAGATCTCAGACGTGTGGCCTCATCTCTTGCCTATCTACATATACACTGGGGGTATCATCCAGTGTCCTGGCTTTTAAATCTAAATGCTGATAACTTGTAAATTTATACCCTCAATCAACTCCAAACTTACTCATCCAATTGTCTACTCCTCATCTCCAACTTGGACATCTAATATGCATCTCAAATTTAACAGGTTCTAAACTCCCCCCACCCAAACCTGCTCCTCTTCAGCTCACTTAACGGCAACTCCATCCTTCCAGGTGCTCAGGTCAGAAACCTCTTTCTCCCACATTTCATACCCACTCTATCATCATTCATGCTGGCCCAGCTTTCACCACACAGCCACATGGACCACTTACCACTATTTCTACCGCTCCCACTCTGATCCAGCGGCAGTTCTCTCTCATGTACGTCAACTGCTATGGCTACCTAAATGGTGTCCCTGCTCCCACCTTCTCTCCTAGTATCTATTCTCAACCCAGTAACCAAAATTATCCTTGTAAAACTTAAGTAAATTCATGTTACTCCTCTGTTAAAAACCCTCAGTGGCTTTCCATCTCACTCAAGAGTAATCCTTACAATGGCCTAGAAGGTACTACCCAATTTGACACCCTCTCCTTCCCCAATTCCCTGTCAGTACCTCTCTGACCTTGTCACTACTCTTCCTTTTGCTCACTAAGCTCCAGCCACCTGGCCACCTCAGGACGCTCCCTCCCACTGCAGAATCTCTGTCTTCCTTTTTTTCCTTTGTATCAACTCTTCCTTCAAATAACCACAGGGTTTGCTCACTTCCTTCAAGTCTTTGCTCAAATGCCACTTTCTTAGTGAGCCTTCCCAGACCAAACTATTTAAAATTGCATACCTGACACCGTTTCACTTCCTGTTTTATTTTTTGACATTGGCTTATCAATGTCTAACATAAAATTACGAAATTTCCTTAATTTATTGTCTTTCTTCTCCTACTAAAATTTAAGTTCTGTGAGGGCATGTATTTTTGTCAAGTTTGTTTCCTGCTGCACCCTCAGTGCCTAGAAGAGTGCCTGGCACATAGCAGCTACTGGATAAACATCTGTCGAAGAAATGCCTATGGATAAATAGAAGAAATTGCAAACAGTAAAAACTGCCCAATATTGGAATGCATCTCCTTTGAAAGTGTTGAACAGATGTTGTGAATGTCAAGCAAATAATGGAAAGATGGTTTTAGAAGAAATTTCTGCAATGGGGAAGAAGTTGAACTAGGAAGCTTCCCATACTAAGGTTCCATGCTTCTTCTAAAAGTTTTGCCAAAAGGACACTTTAAGTAAACTCAAAGAAGATCACCATCTATTCCATAGATAATAGAACACAGCCACACACAGAAACTCCATGCCAACTGTTGCATCTTACACACCTGAAAGGGATCCATAGAAATCTAGTCCATCTCCCAAAAAGTCCTGTCAGGGAGATCAAATCTCATTTTACTAATTAGGAAACCACAGCTGAGCTGCCCTCCCCAGTAAGTTGGTTCTTAGTTCCCTGAATTAATAAATGGCACTATCAGTCACTCACACAAACGCTCTTGTTAGAAGTCAGAAAGTCTTCCTGAACACTGCCCTGTTACCCTCCACAATAACAACCTCACCAAGTAAGACTTTATGAGCCAAAGCCAGGCCCCTGGAGTACCATTCCGGGGTGATGTGCCATATAGAGACTGAAGTATTATAAATAGTGGTTGGGACTATATTGGAGTCCCAGTTCCAACATTTCATAGCTAGGCGATCTTAACATCTCCAAGTCTCAACTTCCAGACTTATGAAATTATAGAAAATAAGGGCATCGACCTGTAGGGACTAAACGAGCCAATGTACGTACAGTGCCTGGTACAGGCCCTCGCACACCGTCAGCACTCGCTAACATTGCCTATTTACTGGTATTCTGTAGCTCTTGTATGGCCAGCATCGCAGCTATCTCTAAATCAGACATCCTCAGTTCCCCATCCAACTCTCCCGAATCGTCCCTATTCCCGACAGAAAACCTACCTGTACATCAAGACCCAGTTCAAGTTCTAAGTTCTTCCCAGACTTCCATCACCCCTTCGCCTTCGGCCAGCCTCCCTTCTAACGAGCGCTCCAAAGGCGAGGGCTCCTTCAAGAACTTGGGAAGGCGGTCTCTAAGGTTCATTCAGCAGACGTTCACTGAGCGCTCACAATGAGCTAGAATCCGTTCCAAAAGCAGGGAGCTGAGCAGTCACAAGACAGAAAGCCCTTCCTTCAAGGAGCTGACCTTCTAACTGGCGGCTCGCCCCCCTCACCCCGCCCCCAGCCGGGCGCTCAAATCTGACTTACACCCACCGAGGGACCCCCCAGCGAGCCCTCGGCGCGGGGGCCGGGGCCGCGCTCCGGGCCACCGGAGGCGGGGGGTGGGCGGGGCCGCGGGCCGGCGGGGCTCGGCGGACCGGAGACCCGGGAGGGCAGCGCCGGGAGGTTCGGCCCGGGAAAGGCCCAGACCCCGCTAGAAACCGGGCGGCCGCGCCCAACGTCACAGGTCACCGACTTACCGCCTTCTCCGCGTGAGAGGACCAGCACCCAGCTCCCTGAGCTCGGCGCCCGCGGTCCACACTCGGGTTTAAACTCCTCAGCCGTTAGCGGTCACCACATCAGCCAATCGGGTCCCCAGAAGGCGGCGCAAAGGAGCGCGGTTACCAGGAAGTGGGAGCGGAAGGGGCGGGACCTCGCTGTGAGCGACTGGAGGGGGTGTGGCCAGGAGGGCCGGGGCGACCCAGCCTGGGCGAAGGGGGCGCGCTGTCTCCTGATGCGTTGGTGAAAAAGAAAACGCTCCTTTGACAAAACTGCCTTTATCAATCAGAGGTCTAAAAGGCTTGACAGCCACCTGAAGTCTGTGGGAAAGTTTTTGTTGTTTGTGGCGTTACTGTGAGACTGCCTGCCCACATCTTATCATTTCTTCTGCATCTTTGCATTCTTTGCATTCTTTGCATTGTGATGCCGGCACCGTTATTTAGTTTTCACTTAAAAGCTCTCCCCGCTTTTCTTTTAACTTTCTGAGGGAAAAGCAGCAATGAAGTTTCGGTGAAAATCCTGTTATCTCATCAGTATTTAGGTCTTGTACTAGTGGTCTGTTTTAGCTAAATATACAAGAATGGCATTTTCCATTACACACAACTACATAAAAAAATACGTATATATTATTCACTTTATGTTCCAAGTCGGTTAGCTTAGTTTCCTTTCACAAATGACTTTCATAATCTATACAAAGAATTTGGAGAAACTATACAGAATAAAATTTCCTTTTTGTATGCCATTAGACTGAAAATGAAAATAGCTTGTTAAATCTAGGTTTTAATAATTGATTATACAGTGAAGCAGTCAACTTCATATTCTCGTCGATTTTTTGTTCATTTGGGGACGTTCGAGAATGACAACTTTCCATTTTACTTTAGAGAATCTAGACAAGTGATGGAAAACGTGATTTTGAGCTAAACCTTTTAGTTTAATATATTTCAAGATCGGTCTCCAAAGAGATCTGACTACATGAATCTTGTGTAAGTAGAAAAGTATTTATTGATTAGCCAGCTGCTAAAATTACAGTTCATAGTGCAGTAAAAACCTCAATAATAGTGGTTTATAATGTAATATACTGGTTATAGAAATTTCTGGTTATCTAGGGGTTAACTAGCACCATATCTTGTTTACCCAGCCTGACACATTAAATGCTCAATACATGTTGTATGTTTTTTTAAGTGAACCGTGTCATGCCTCTGCCATTTAATGGTTATTTAATCTTGGCCAAGTCGATCAATCTCTCCAAGCTTCTGTTTCCTCATTTGTAAAATGGACCTTAATAACAACATCCAAAATATTTTTATGATGGTTTCCATCAACAGACCCTTTCATTCAGATACATTAATATTACTTTCTTCCTGACTCATTTTGTAGCCACAGTGTCAAAACTAAAACAAATAGAAAAGGGAGACGGAATTCAGAGATAAGAGAGGTTAAAAAATTTATCAAGACATGAATACCAACACCTCTAAAAAAAGTGCTGGTTATCTTATCTCAGAGAATTTAAAGAACCAAGCGCTTTTTAAATTGTAAAAAGCTTTTGAAAATGTAAGTTCTTATCATACACAACCATAAACCTAAAACATATAATTAGCTGAGCTGAATTTAACCTAATCCTAGCTTGCTCTCCGATCATTTGCCTCTTGGTATAATGGATAGAGGCAGGAGCCCTGAACTAGGAGCGTGAAGACACAGTTAGCTGTGCCCTGAGCACACATTAGCTGTGTGTTCTTTGTTACAAGCTCCTTATCTATAAAATAAACCAGTTAAATTAAATGAGCTCCTGGTTCTATTGTGATACTCTCCTGTACAAGGCACTGATTTTGCTCCTCTGCCTCCATTTTCCTTTATTCTTACACTCGTTAGTTGCCTGATTTTCTTTACCTAAGGTTTGACTCCAGTCAATTAAAATTTGATTGTCCTGACCTGCACTTCTCACACCAAAAAGGGGAAGGAGGGAGAGGGAGAAGAGGAAGACTAACTGCCAAACAACAACAAAAATCCTCTTTAACGTCTCAACGTTACTAAAACAAAAATCATCCAAGCCCTGAACAGGAGCCAAGTAAAAGACACACTTCAAATCAATAAACCAATAAAACAAAGGAGAAATAGTGTACTTACATTTTATTAATCCATCTGATCTGATAATCTGTATCAGTCAGGCAGGCTGAATTGCACCAAGAAAAACCAACCTAGGCTGATAGAAACAGAAAAGGACATTGGGTGACTTAAAGCATTTCTGGAGAGGATAGAGATACAGGCTTGGAAAACAGGCAGGAACAAAGGGGCCTGGGCAGCAGACAAGCACCCAGCCACACTCATGCTACCAGCACAGCCCATGAGGACACCGCACAGCCAGCAGCGCCCCTTCTTGCGACTGCTGGGACCGCCATTGTGCTGCCTCTGGGAAAAGTGGGCTTGACCGTGCTGCAGTGCCTCCATCCCTGCTGCTTGGCCTCACTGGCTCCCGTTGCTAGGCCTGGGTTGGCTGTGTCTGATTGGCGAAGCCTGGATCACAGGCTACAAACCCTAGCTGCAAGGGAGTCCTGAACGTTTAGCCTGTGTCCAGGTTTTTTAGCTTGTTAGTGAGAGGCCGTCTCTGCCTCCCATCTAGACTCAGGAAGGGCATTCTGAGCTGGGCAGATGAAAGAATGACAAAGGTTTGTGTCAGTACTTTGTGCTACTTTACTACAATCATTATTTCTATTTTCTTTAATGAAAAGACTTCCTGCTGTGTCAGGGGAAGGACAGGTAATAGTTAAAACAGCAGCAGATAACATTTGTCCAGTGCTTACCGTGTCCTGGACACTGTGTCAACCCTTTTAAATTCTCGCCATGATCCTATGTGGTAGATACTGTTATTTCCTTTTTACGGTTGAGGAAACTGAGGCACACAAGATTTAAGTAACTTCTGCAAAGTTTAGTGAGTGGTACAGCTGAGATTTGAACCCAGGCAGTCTGGCCTGGGCCTCTTTGAGATAGTGGAAGAAGGGATTTGTCATCTATCACTTTGGTTTCAAGGCATGGCATCTATCATGTGAATTGCCTGCTTGCCAGCCTCCTCTTTTCCTTCTTTGTACATTTTTTGGGAGTCCCTTTTGGCATTATGCTAGTGGTGAAGATGCAGGAGGCAAATCCTCTTCCCTTAAGGGAGAAGACAGACGAGCAAACAATTCATTCCCATGCATTTCCATTAAGTAGAGGCTTGAGGTGATTCAAGACTGTTTCTCTGGTTTAGGCAAGGGCAGGGGCTACGTATCAGGGGCACTGAGCCTTCTTTTCTCTGACCTAGGAATATGTATGAGTGGAGGGGAGGCTTCTCTGGGGAGGGATAAAATAATCAGGGGTCTTAGTCTGCGTGTGTCTGGCTGGATAATCTCCAGCAGCAGCTGTCTTTGCGGCTCGTTCACCTACACTACACCAGTCCACGGGCTAGACTAGGGAGATACTGGAGTGGAGTCTACTTCCCAGACTCTACCCTGTGCCTCCACAGAAAATTCCAAAAAGTTTCAAGCATTTCTTTACTCAAGATTTCCAGTGATAAAATCCAAACCATACAAACTGGAGGCTTGGGGAGGGCTTGAAAGGTCAGCTGTTGTGCTCAATAGCTTTACCAAGGGACTTACATTTACATGAACCATCCAACAGCGCAGGGCCCTACAGCCCACATCTCCAGTGTTCTCTCCACATGTACATTCCCCTGACTGTTGGAGAGGGTCCCAAGAGATCTTCGACCACACGCTTCCTCATCGTATACCCTTCTCCCTTCTGATACTCACTGCAAACTCAAAGGAATAGCAGTTGTGGAAAATAGTGAATCTGCTGTTTGAGGTCCCTTTGGGATATCTAGGTGGAAATGTCCAGCAGGCACACAGATGTACAAACATGAAGCTCAAAAGACACGTCTGGATTTGGGACTCAGCAATGAACAGTAATAGAAATCACTGGAGTGGACTAAGTTATGGAGGGGAGTGTGTACAAGCACAAGGAGAGTAGAGGGTAGAACCCTGGTGAACATCGATGGAGGAAGGAAAGATGAAAGGGCAGCAAGAGAGGCAGTGAGGGGTAGGAGGAGACACAGGCCCCATGGAGGCCAGGGGAGGAGCTCATTTCAAAGAGGAACAGCCAACTTTGTCTTACACAGCAGATAGGTGTGAGCGAGAACAGCCCGGGGGGTTAACAGTTAGGAAGTCATTCACTTCACGGCAGAGAGGGTGCAGAGATGAGAGCAGACAATTCTTTGAGGATAAAAAGAGAAGCGACAATAGCTACAGGGGAATCCAGAGTGGAGAGTTTGTGTTCTTTTTATAGGTTGGAGGAAGGAGTTGTTAGAGAGAGAGTGGATGACATAGGAAAGATGTGGGCAGTGGTGGAGCAGAGTTCCGTGGATGTGGAGATTGGAAGGAGGGCTAAGCCGTGGGCTGAAGGGCCACCTCTACCTCTGAGGAAGAAGAGATGAAAGACCAGATGTTGTAGACATAGATGAGTTTGAAAATGAAAATGCTTTGTAAGCTTTCAAATTCATATAAATGTAGGACTATTATCTATCATTTTATTTAAAACATTTGCTTCCTTAAAAAAAAGCTATCTCTGTGTTTAAAAATTTTTGATACTTTCATTTAAGTTAGTAAAAACTAAGGTCAGAGACATTATTTAGATATGGACCAAAGCTTCCTTATCTCCTGTAAACAGTTTCTCTAACAGAATGAGAGGAAATAGTTTGTGCCTAAAACTCTCAGCTGTTATTATGTCAACCAGTACACCAAGTTATGGCCTCTTAATATTCAGTAAGTCACAGAAAGAAATAAAAGCACTGGTTTCAAACTGGGTTGCCTGCTGACTAAGCTTTGCAAAATCTGAGCAGGAAAAGATAAATACACTAGATTGCAGATTCCTCACAAAGTAAAAATTTAGACAGTGAATATAAATAAACACAAATAGGCTCATCAAATCACATTTTTCTCAGCTAAGACAGGAACCTGGAAGTATCTAAATATTTATCACAACAGTTGGTTGTAGAAAACTTTGCTATGTTCACCTTTAAAGCAAACATGAAGTACTTTTCTCAAAAAA